GTAGGGTGGCTGGGGGGTCGCCGTCAGGCGGGCCCCCCCTCAACCGAGCCCTAGGAGCAGAGAAGGAGGGCATTTCCTAAGTGAAACATAGGAATGCCCGTAGAGATGTGAATACCTGGCCGATCTGCGATGTTAAGGGCTCAATGGAAAGCCTATATCGCCGACCAGATATCACTGACCGAAGAACCGAGTATCGATCGGCTAAGTCACGCGCCATCGTCCGTTGAAGTCCGCCGAGTCGTCAGGATCTTCAAGGAAGCCTGTGACGGAGCGAGTCCGTCACACACACACCTAAGGCCCGTTTAGCACAGTTGGTAGTTGCGCGCCCCTCGTAAGGGTGAGGTCGATAGTTCGAATCTGTCAACGGGCATTGGTACTTTTTTTGTTGAGACGTGTATACATTTTTTCTATTCATCGTTTATACAAAAGCGATCTCCATTCGTTTGATCATCAGTGTCGCCTTGATCAAGATCAAGATCGAAGAAACGGATAAAGATATAGTATCTGTTTTGTTTCCTGTTCAATGTCTTCGCGGTCGCACTATTAGAACTGTATGTCAATCTCGTTGTCTTGGACCATCTGTTTATTGAAGTTCTCTCAGAAGCATACGCTATGAGTAAAACGTCGATGTTGTTGGTCACTGTACGGGGCTTGACAAATCAAAGCCACTGCCGTCGCATGTTGTGTCGGCCGCATCAATGATTGGGATAGTTGTTTTGGTGTTTTGGTGGCGTGGTTGATCTAAAGCAGCATCGGCAGACCGTGATCGGCTTGCCCGAGCATCATCACCCCGACCGACCGAGCGTGTGCTGAGGGATGTTATTGCCTTGGTCACGCCTGGGCTCAAACAATAATGCGCGCCACGTCGAAACGACGCGTCTCGTCAGGACTCGGCATCTCCACGATTGCAATGGTGTATGTGGCGAAGGCCGAGAGGGGCGCGAGGCGCTTTGTTTTGCGCGGCATGTTAGGCACCCGAAAATGAATGCCGGGGCCGAAGGGGACTGCCGAGACGGGGAAAATCCGGGTGTTGAGGCGGCGCAAGCATTGCACCCCGACTATGTTGGGCTCCGTCCAATAGCATGTAAAGCAGTGCACGGTGATGCCCAGACGATGCATGATGTAGAGGCCTCTCGTGCTGGAGGCTGCATCATGCTGCTCTCGCCACCCGCGAACCTCAACGTATCCAGGTGCGCACCAACGCACGATCGCAAAAGCCCGAGGCGCTCGGGCATGTTGTTCCGCATACGCAAAGCTCTGTTTTTAGTGGGGGCCTTCGGATTGTTTGGACTGGTCGGCTGCACGACATGGACGGAATCGATGGAGTCCATCATGGATGTTTCTACCGTTGCTATGACATAATCAAGCACAGCTGTATAGATACAGCCGGTAGATACAGCCGACACAGCGGTGTCCCCAACATCCGTGATTCGACTGGAACTGTTGCTATGGCACCTCTACACACCTCTTAGGTATGAATCAATAGCAAGAAACCAATAGCGATGCAGCCACCAAACCACTACAGCGATCATGCATGTTTGTATATGCCCTTTTCACTGCAACTCGCCAACCTTGGCGAAATCAAGGGGTCGAGAGACGAACACCGCGATGATCTCTCAGCGGTATATAAATATCATTCGACGCTTTGAATACCGCGATATGATCCGACATGGGGAAAGACCTCGACATGAGGCACGAAGCGCTTAGCAAGCGAGTACATGCTGTGCAATTACATTATCTCGGTAGCGAGAAAACCTCGACCCGTACCCCACGACACATGCACTCGGGCAATTGCTCCAAATCTCGTCATTTCCGGCCATCCCCAATCTCACATCGCCCCGCCCCAGCTAACGAGCTCGCTCTTATCCAGCTCCAGCACCATGTCGGACACGCTTCGTCGCCGCGCTGCGCCGCACTCGGCGTCGGCCAAGCATGAGCCGCAGCAGGCTTTCTCGCCTATTCGAAAGGTAAAGACAAGACCGGGTCACACTTTATGGCCAAATGGATCGACGGCCGATGTGCTCTTGTTGCGTGATGCTCGAATGACTGACTAAAAACTCACCACCCTTGACTTTCCGTAATGAATGCTATGCATATTGATGTTCGTACGTGATGGACACGTCATTAGGGTCCCGTTCTGGCGACGCCGCTCGACTGGCTTTATGCGGCCGTCAAGCTGACTCGGCCGCACACCATCGTGCACACCACCCTGGCGCCGATGGCAGTGACAGCCATGGCGCTTGGCGGCTATGGCCAACTCGTTCACATCCCGGGTGATATCTGGGCGAATCTCTTGCTCGTTCAGTTTGGCTTCATGATGGCCAACGTGTGGATCGTCGGCATCAACCAGATCTATGACATCGATATTGACCAAATCAACAAGGCCGAGCTGCCGCTTCCCGCGGGCATCCTGTCCATCAAGCAAGCATGGGTGATCATCACGACGGCACTGATGGTGGGCACCTCATGCATTATGCTGGGTACCTCTAACAACCTCATTCGCGGCCTCTGGGCCTTCGGCACCTTCCTAGGAACTCTTTACTCCATTCCCTCGGTGCGCGGCAAAAACTCGGCCATGTACACATGCATGGCGATCACGTTCTGCCGCGGCGTCATTTTCCCGACCTGCATCTACGCGAACGTCATTGATCACTTCCGTCCGGGCGCCTCCTACCTCGCGCCGGACATCAGCTATGTCATTCTTTTCAGCATCTTCTGGGTGCTCGCCATTTCCATCTTCAAGGACCTGCCTGACGTGAAGGGCGACCTCGCCCACGGCTCTAGCAACACGCTGCCGCTGACCATCGGCATCCCCAACACCGTGCGCTTGTGTATGGCGATCATGTTCTCGCCGCTCGTGTTCTCAATGGTGCTGACGCCGACGACGTATATGCTGATCTGGCACACCACACTCGCTGCCGTGCTGGCCATCGGCTGGGCCCAAATGGACTACACCAGCAAGGCGAGTCTGACGGCGTTCTATCGCGTCGTGGTCTGGAACAGCCTCTACTTGGAGTACCTACTCCTGCCGGTGACAGCCTCCGTGGCTCGTCTTGCCTTCTGAGTTAGCCGCGAGGTGCATGTTCATCATTTGAACTCGCGTGCCTTGCGCACCTTATTACCTTATTCATCGACGTCTCCGCACTGCGCAAGTTTCATTCTGTTTTTTTTTTTTTTTTCTCCCCGGCAGCCCCTTACCTCTGCTTCGCTTGTTCCTGCATTCACGGTCTAATCGTGGTGCCAGCGAGGTCGTGCTGGCCTTTCTGAATTCAGTGTTATACTCTAATCAAATCATACAATACCAAGCACATCGGTAGCGTGATCGGCGGTACATAGGCGATGGCCGGATAGGGACCCAATCCTGAAAGAACGCGTTGAATGGCAGCCGTCACGAGCGATTGGCGCGTTGGACGCGCCAACGCGAGTTGGACCACCGCTGCATAGTAGTCAGGGGCGGTGTTAAGCGACGAGTTTGTCAAGTAATCCACGTTCTCGGTGCATCGCGGTGCATCGACCATGTCGTGTGGACAGTAAGATTCGGCCTGCGCCCAGGTGGCGCTAGCGTGCCTGGCGCAAAAACGGCCTGTGCCGCGTACGGAGGACAGAGTCGTAAAAGAAAGGCCGAACGGCCATTTTTTTAGCGGGTTTTCGTGCTGCGGCTTAGGGCTGGGTCCCGAAGGGCTTCATGGGCCGAGGCGGCCGCCACTCGGCTGCCCCTCGGTTGCGGATGGCCGGGGCGAGTCTCTCGGCGGCACAGCAGGACAGGGGCGAGGTCTCGGCGGCACAGCACGCGACCGCCCAGGGCGCTGGCGCTGGCCCGCGGCCCAGCGGGGGTCGAGTTGGCCATGGGCTCGAGCCACGGGTGATCGCATCGGATGTTGAAGCCGGCCGTCATGGCGGCCCCCCCTCCTCTTCGAGCCTCGAATCCTCGCCCTCGGGCTGTTCATGCCGGCGCGCCGACCAAGGCGAAGCGACGGGCGGAGAAGCGTGTGAGGGCTGACTTGCGGGTAGCTCGTCTTGATGGGGTGGTATGCGGTATGCGGAGACGGCGATTCATGGATGGTGGCGGACGCATCGACTACCCCTTTGTTTGATTATCGTCCCCGACCGTCCCAAAGCGATAGACCATACGCGCTGCCTCGCATCCACGTGTGATCACGGCCAAGCCTCGTCCCGCCATACCCGCGGGCCTGTTCGCGTTCCATCTGGCTCCTGCGTGCCCCAAGGGCTGCTGTTTCCTTTGCGCATCGCGCTTCCTCTCGTAGCTAATCGGTTTCTGTCGACCGGCCACTCGTCTAGAATCCACGGCCTCTCTGACGTCGCACTCCTCGTCTGCATTGCTCTCTGCATACGGACTCCCTGACAACTCGGTTTCGACGGCGCCTCCGCTCTCCCCGACGGGTCCCTTTCTTGGCGAACCCCTTTCCAGATCCCCAGCACCTGCGCAACACCCCGTGCAAACGCCAGAATGTCCCTCTCCTCAGCAGCGGCCGCGACGGCCATGTGTCCCGACTACGCGCCGTTCTTCGGCTTCGCGGGTGTGGCGAGCGCAACGATTTTCTCGGCCGTCGGCGCCGCGTACGGGACCGCCAAGGCCGGGATGGGCATTGCCGGCATCGGTCCCTTCCGCCCGGATCTCATGATGAAGGCGCTGATCCCGGTGGTCATGGCGGGCATCATCGCCGTTTACGGCTTGGTGGTGTCCGTGCTGGTGGCCAACGAGCTGCAGCCCACCGGTCCGTACTCGCTATTTGCAGGCTTTACCCACTTGGCGGCCGGTCTGTCCACTGGTTTTGCGGGCCTCGCGGCTGGCTTCACCATCGGCGTCGTTGGCGATGCCTGCGTCCGTGGGTACATGTTCCAGCAGCGTCTCTTCGTCGGCATGGTCCTGATTCTCATTTTCGCCGAAGTCCTCGGTCTCTACGGTCTCATCGTGAGCTTGATTCTGAACACCAAGGCTGACAAATCCTGCTCTTGAGCCGTTCGCGTCACGTGGCGCCCTCCCCTCTGCATGGACGAACTGTCGGGGCTTCTTCCTCCCACATTGCCCTTGTTCTCGTGCCGCGTCGCAAGGGGTTGTGGAGCTTGTGCTGATGGTGGACCTGATACCGCCTGGGCTGGGCGACGGGGGCATCCGACGAGGTGGGACAGACCGCTTGACAGCATCGCGTGCGTGGACGTACCGTGCCGTGGTACCGCCGAGGTCCAGCGACCCAGCTGGTCAAAGTCTTCGACCAATGGGCGATTTGGGTAGTTTGGGGTTGTCGTCGGTTTTTTACAGAGTCGCACCATCTTCGTCGTCATCTTCATCCCTGCCGCCATGCAACCCCCTACGTGTGTATCGGACCTCCCCGGTTCTGATCTCGCGTC